CAGGAGAGGTCTGCCACGCTATGTGGTCACCTCCGGGGCAGGCGGGGATCGAACTCATGCGGAAGTGGCTTTAGCTTCTTAGTGCTGCGCTTTAACCCGCTGTGCCACCAGGGATGGCCCTATTTTTCTATTTTTGCATAAAATCTCAGGGCAGAATAATCAAGTAGCAATTTGTTGTTGTTGCTGGCCTTGCTGGAGTACCCCATACAGGATCAGAGTGAACTGTCGAGGTCCAGTCCACACAGGCTCAGGAGCAAGGTTGATCTCAGCAGAATCAATCTGGAGTTTCCTCTTCTCCAAGTTACCAGGACTTTTTATTTATCAGGGTCGTCCAGGCCTGCCAACGGAGGCAAGCTTCCTCACCTTCTTTGGAGGTCTCTGGAACCCTAAAACAAAGCAGCAGGTTCTCCTCTTCTTGGTTCAGCTCTATTTGAAGTTCCTGGAGAATGCCAAGCAAAGCCACTGAAACACATTTCCAATTTATTTAGTTTAAGCAGACAAAATTCCCTATTGAAGTTATGCAAAAATAGTCTCATAAGTAGTAAATATTTCTACCACAGTTTTTATACTGTATTGGTATCAAGGGGAGAGAAAAATGGAAACACAAGTTACTTCTGCTGAAAAAAAATGCAATATTACTGCAGATTCTGGTTACTCAAAACAAGAAAACTTTCTTTGAATCAAATGGGGGGGGGAAGTACCAATATTATTGCAAACAAAAACTTGGCAAAAATCAGCCTGTTCAGTTCTTTGTAGAAAATCTTTTTCACTGTCAAAATTTCCACCAATTGGAATCAGTTGAGGTCTTTTTCTGTAAACATTTTTTTTCTTTTTTTCAGAAGCAATTTCTGCAAATGTCAAACCATTGAATATAATATTTCAGGACAACAATCAATATTTACAATTTACACAACGTAAGATATCAAAACATTTTTATGTATTTTTCAGAAAGCCAGTGTTAACATTTATGTTCATGCCATGTTCCACCTTTTCCCCAAGTGACAATGCTTCCTTTCCAGTTATTTTTCTTTACTAGGTAAACCAAAAAGGCCAAATTTATCTAAGTGCCTTTCACAGATGGAAAGAGAGAAATTTTGTGATCTGTCTCAGGAGCTCTTCTGAGGTTCCACAAAATTTCCTTCGATGAACCAAATGACAGACTACCAAATTTTGCTTCAAATTTAGAATTCTGGTAAGTTTTGTCACAAATATGAAAAAAAAAACAGCAACAACAATCTCAATTTCTATGAAAGCTCTGGCTCAGTCAGTAGTGCAATCTTGACAGTCAAACCATAACCTTTTTGTTTTTTTCTTCATAACTAGAGACTCTTTATCCTCAAAAACTAATTTTTCCAAACTTCCATTTTCCTGACATTATCAACTCAAACAACAGGGGAAAAAATTATATTATACCCAATACAACCTGGGAAGCACCTGTTTTAAAACAACATTAGAGTACAAAGTAGTCACCACGGACTAAAAATTATCCCAGATTGTGTTTTCAAAACATGTATACCAGTTTTCATTAATTTTTGTTTGTTTGTTTTCAAAATCTATAGGTACCATCTAAACCAATTGTTTGTAACACCTCGAGGCCAATACGATTAAGCACAAGGACAAGACATACAGACATGCAACATACAGTCAGTTTCCTTATTTATGCCACGTGGAATCTTATGAAACTGCAGTTTTACTCATATAGGCTCAGAAAAATCTCAAATTCCAAGAAAAATGTGGAATGTTGCTGGCAGAAATCACAGGTTTCAGTTGTTATCTTACAAACCTAAGACTTTGGAAATAGGAAGAAAAAGTTTCATTAATCACAACAGTTACATGTTTTTCAGTGTTTGTTCCCTTTCACCTCATTTCTCCCCTCCTCTTTCTTTGCCTTATTCATTTTTTTCTTTTTTGATCAGGGGGAATACGGACTACAAACAAAGCAGGATCTCACTTGAGCAAGCTTTGAAGTTGGTATGTGTGTGGCATGGCTGGGCTCAAGGACTCCTGAGAGCATCCCTGAGAGCTTTCTCATGCACTCACCATTCCCTGGAGACCCTAATTTCCACACATCTGTAAGGCACAGTATATCCTGCCTCTGACTCTGAGGCAAAGCAGTCACACAAGCAGCCCCACCTTCCCCCACTAGCCAGAAAGACACTGTGACAGAACACAGTGTGTCTAGAAGGTGATTTGACCGTAGTTGTAATAGCTTCCCTGTTCTGTGTCATTAGAGGGAGGGACATACTTCACAGTCTTAAGTAGAAATGTGCCTTTTAAGGGAAAAAATCAGAAAGTTAAACGTAAGTTACATTGGTAGGGAAATCCTATAAGATATTCCTTGGGCCTCCCTGGTGGTGAAAGGGTTTAAATTCTCAATACTAAGAAGTTATCTGCAGCCGCTGAAGCAGGAATTCAACCCCAGGGCAGGGAGCTGACCCACATGTCTTTCCTGCTGCTCCCCTCAGCAGGGTATTTCACTCAGTCTGCCTGTTCTGTCCTCGCTCTGTCTCTGGTGAATCATCTCACACATACCCCCAGCACCTCTGGCCTTTACCCCAGTTCTTGTATGCATAAATAAAATAAAATAAATCTTTTTTTTTTAATCCCTGTATGACATTTCTCATGTTTATGTCACAAATTGAGATTACCCAATTGGGAGCAAAGTCATAAGAAAAAAATGTATTACTAGAGATTTCTTAGTTTTTCATTTCTGTGGCTACTGTCAATCATAGAGGTCAATGGAGTAACTTTGGGCATCAGGGTGATACTTCTGGAGACTCTGAGAAGTCCCATCACTCCCTGGCGCTCTGTAGAGAAAAGGATGACTAAAAATCCCCTGGAGTGCCTGCCAGCTACCCACTCATCCTGCAGCACACCCCATTGCACTTTTTTTCTTTTTTATTATATTAGTTTATTTTTACATATTTTTGTGCATTTTTCCATCTCAGTTGCAATCCCTTACTGCAGTTTTTTTTTAAAAAAAAAGATTTTATTTATTTATTCCTACAAGAACTGTGGTATAGGTCAGAGGTGTGGGGGTGTGAGAATATTCACCAGAGTGGGGAGCAGAACAGGCAGATGTTCTGAAATACACTACTGTGGGGAGCAGTAGGCGCTACAGGAGAGGTCTGCTGTGCAATGTGTGTTGCTCCCTGGGTGGGATAAAATTCATGTTGCAGTGTCTGGCAAGATAGCTTGATAGTGCTATGTCTTTAACCCCTGTGCCACCACGGAGGTCTCCACCTCAGCGCACTGTTTATATGTGAGTACTTGAAACGTTCTCTTATTCATACTAGCATGTTAATGGCTTACATGTTATAGAAGAAAATAGTGGTGGTTCTTTCTGATCTTCAATTAAGATCTTCCTCTTTGTTGTACTGAAATATACTGCTAAAACTAGAAGTTTTTTCTTTAAGAGATCTAACAGCTTTTAGTCTTTAAAAAAAAAACCTTCATTTTTTAAAACGAAAGCCATTTTACCTTAATTAGCACCTTAACCTGAAATGGTGAATTTATGGAATTATTCATCCAGTTTATGGTTAAATTAAAGCTGAAAAATTATGGTAGTTGTGTTCAGTAGATGAATAAAAAATAAACACTTTCTTCGCCCACAATTATGTGTGGGTATGTATTTAGAAGATTTAATTGATGTAATTTATAATGATATATTTTTCAAGATACTCACTTGACAGTCACCCTCTCAGATAACCTGTTCCTGGGTACTAGTTGCTTTTTGGAACTCTCCCCCTCTGGCAATCCAGGCAGGCGTGGCTGACTCCTTATCCTGAGGTGGCCGTTTCTGTGACACTGTCTACTCCTGCCATTGCTCTCCCTGCCATTAGCCCTATTTGCCTCCAAAGCATGCTTTGATTTGACAAAGTTTATTTGTTTTCCACCAGGCCCGTGTACCTTCCATTTCCTCGATTGCTTTGGGGGTGGTATAGGGAATACAGAAGTTCTTTGTACTTCCATCCAATTCTACATATTTTGTAATCGCTACATTCTCAGTTATTTCTAGTGCAACCAAAAGTGGTGAAAACTGGTTCTTGAAGGCTAGAAAATGGTATTCTTTTTGCATTAAAGCCTGGTAAACAATCTATCTGTGGCATTAAAATATTGTAGGGGAAGGTGATTAGGAAAAACATGTCAAGGGCAATAATGAGAAAAAGGTTAAAAGGTAATTTATTATCTTCGCAAGTTTACTTTTCAGAACCTTTTTCATCTTGTCTTCACCTGCTCCAAAACTTCATTAGCTCCTCACAACTGAATGTAGAAAGCCCAAATTCCTTGTTCTGTTGTGTAATGTTCTTTTATTATGACCCCCAACCTTCTTTTGACCCTGGCTTCCAGTCTTGCCCCCACGTAGGTCACCCTCACCTGTAAATTGCTGCTCCTAGTCTCAGACACAGCCCTGGATTTCCTCCTTGACCCCTGCCAGCCTGGGTTTCCTCCCCTCATCTCTTTTCCCGTGGGAATCCATTCAGTTTTCAAGACCAGCTAAACCCCACCTCTGGGTTTAACACTTCTTTCTTTGCTTCAGTTGAAAAGTATATCTCATTTTTCTGGGTTTCAGTGGTATATTATACCTATATTATGCAATAGGTGAAAATGTATTACTCTGAGCTTTTTATCACCTAATTTAGATTCTTCCTCCCATGCAGTACAGGTCCCCTAGGAGCATTTATGAGACTCATATCCCTCTCTAAACTGAGAATAATCCTTGTGCAGTTGGCTCTGGTACTTTTTCTGCAATTCATTTAACTATCTCTAGTTTAAGGGAAAAATCCAAGTATTATGAATATCAGGTACTGATATCAGAGGACATAATAGGGAGGCTTTGATGATGCTGTGAAGGAATAGATTTATGTGCTTTTTTTTCAAATGTAATTGTCTTTCTCACTTAGGTAATGAATGCATTTACCAGCATGCAGAACACAGTGCAGCAGACATAAGCTTAACATTCTACAGAAGCCATAGATCACCATGCTTTCATTTCTCCTTACTTTTTATTAAAAATAATTGCTATGGGCCCTCCCTGGTGGCACAGCAGGTTAAAGTACAGCACTAAGAAGCTAACGTCACTTCAGCAAAGTTCGATCCCTCTTCCGGAGCTGACCCACATGTCGCTGCAGACCTCTCCTGACCCGCCTGCTGCTCCCCTCAGCCGTGTACTTCATCAGTCGGTCTGTTCTGCTCCCCACTCTGTCTCTGGTGAATCCTCTCACCATCCCTGAATGTCTCGCCTGTGCCCCAGTTCTGTATGAATAAATAAATAAATCTTTTTAAAAAAATAATTGTTACAGTGAAACTAGAGGTTTTTTTTACATCATTTTGTACATTTTTTTTTCCATCTCAATTGTAATCCCCGCGGGTTTCCCATCACCAAGTCACCCGAGTGCCATCACCATAATCCCGTGCACTTCCCTCCCCACCCACCCCCCCATTTTTGATCCCATTCCCCACTCCACCCCCACAAAACGTCTCTGGTATATGGTTGTTCATTATTTTCGTTATTTTCTCGCCTGGTCCATTATACTCCTGCTATGAGTGAAACCATCCGGTATTTTTCTTTCTCTTTCTGGCTTAGCTCACTAAGCATTATCTTTTCCAGCTCCATCCAAGTTGCTGCAAAAGACATGTGTTTCTCTTTTTGGTTGCTGAGTAATATTCCATTGTATATATGTACCACATCTTTTTTATCCAAAACTGGAGTTGTTTTTTAGTGCCACGTAGAGTTTTAGGAGTCATAAAAGTTTCAGACGATAGCTGTTATTGAGAATTATCTCTATGGAGAGCAGTATTCTCTCATCTTGGGATGAGTAACTCACCTTCTTTAAGATGGTTAATCAGAATGGCTTTGAAAAAATGACATAAGAAAACACAACACATCGGGCAAAGTGTCTAGGATTTGGTTATGACCCAAGAAAAAACTTGTAATGGTCACAGTAAATGAACCCAGCTGCTGTGACATGTATAACCTGGATTCCGGATGTTTTAGGCTATAAAATCCACCCTCTGTCTTTTCAGTGTCCTCGGGCTGATGGCACCCACGTGACCATCTGGAGCTGAGGCTCTCCATGGGTGGCTTCGTCCTCCTCTGGGCCCACTGTGTCATCTGCATGCGCCAAGGCTGGGGGACGCAAGGCGGGATGAGGCGTGGGAGGTGGTAGAGCGGCTTCTCTCGCCCCGGGCGGGTGGCTGGACGCCATGACGCACACAGCAGCAACGCAGACGAATTGACGTAATCTCGTGGTGTGACCCGCGGAAAAGCACCTGGTCATTCTGCTGTAGTTCTCTCCCCTTACTCTTGTATTTTACCCCCTAAAGTTCGGGGGTAGTTTAATTTTTCAATTTGTGAGTACTACTGAGCTAATGCTGCTTATCTTTGAGGGTCTAAAGTAGTTAAATATTACTTACATAGAAGGAAACTTTTTATGTGCTTAACTCTAGTGTGAAGTTTGGATCAAAACCCTTGAAACATAGAGTGAAACTTTAGCAGAGGTGAGGAGAAATATGTTCTCTCATTCATTCCTGGGAATAGAATAAATGTGTACCACTCTTCTGCAGAGAACTTTGAATTTAGAAAATTCATACTGCTCCATATAGTCATTCTGTTTTGGGGAAAGGAGCTAAGAAAATAGTTTGAAATACACGTAAAAATATGTGTAAAGAAGTTCACCAGCTTTCTTCATTGTAACAAATAATTGTAAGCAATCTAAAGGAAAACCTCGGGGAATGGTTAAATAAATTGTAGTATATACTTATAATTAAGGTAGCAGCTAGCTGCTCCCTCCACCCCATCCCAGCGAATGAAAGGCAGAGAAGTGACTGAGGCTGGGGGACCAAAGCGCCCCACGACCAGAGTGCAGAGAAGCGGCGGGGCGCGCCTCCTTGTGGCCACGATGGGTAATGCGGCAATAGCGCCCAAGAATGAGGAGCGGGCTGAGGGAGGCCAGTGCCGGGCCAAGCACAGAAGTAGGAACGAAAGCGGAGGAGGAGCAAGCATTTACTTCAAATAGACACGTTTTGCGATTTAATGGCTTCCTGAACTTTAATGCCAGTAGTACTTTTGGAGAAGACATGGGATATTTCTCCGTTTCAGTTTGAATTTCCAAACTGTCAGGATGCAGCAGGAGGGCCCGGTGGGCGCGGCCACGAGAGCAGGTTGCCGGCCCCGCCCACCCGCACCTGCCCGCGGCACCTGCAAGGCCCCTCCGACCCGGCATGCGCGCTCCGCCTGCAGCCTCGCTCACCTGTCAGTGCCGGAGTAGAGTCCTGCTAGGGGAAACCTGGTCCTCCCGGACCCGACAGAGAGACGCCCTCTGTGCTTGGACCTGGGGAGCCCTCTGTGCTTGGACCTGGGGAGCTCCCTGGCCTCGGAGAGGACAAGGGAAGCCCAAATGAGGGAAGGTGAGAACACTTCCCGGTAGGCGGCTGACTGCGGAGGAACCCCGTGGGAGGACCCAGTGCAGAGCGGGCTGGAGGTGAGAACCTGGGGCTTTGGAAGTTCTTTGTTGCACCTGAAGAATATGGAAGCCGGGTTCTTCCCAGAGCTTCAGTGACCCCCTCGGTGTTCAAGCTCCATTGACTGAGCACGTCCCGCCGGATGTTTGCTCCTGGCTCCTTCGTGGTGCACTGATGACGCTGCTGGTATGGATTTTCTGGGCGCTCCGTTCCATTCCGTTGATCTGTGTGTGTTTAGTCCTGTAGGCTTATAATATCGTTTTGGGGAGCATATTGTAACATTATCTGGAACTGACATCCACCTCCCCGCCCCAGGTCTAGCCGGCACAATCTCAACCCAATACTAACATTACTTAGAAATTAAACAATAAAATATATTGCCATAAATTCAGTTCCACGAGGCCAGCATCTGCAACTGTTTTTTTTTTAAAAGATTTATTTATTTATTCATACAGAACTGGGATACAGGCCAGAGATGCGGAGGGTGAGAGGATTCACCAGAGACAGAGTGGGGAGCAGAACAGGCAGATCGACGAAGTACACTGCTGAGGGGAGCAGCCGGCGGGTCAGGAGAGGTCTGCCACGCCATGTGGTCTCCTCCAGGGCAGGCGGGAATCGAACTCATGCGGAAGCGGCTTTAGATTCTCAGTGCTGTGCTTTAACCCGCTGCGCCACCAGGGAGGGCCAGCATCTGCAACTGTTTTTAAATTAAAATTACATTATAGTGTTTAAAATTATAAAATTTTATAATTTTATAGCAGGGCAGCAGGAGAGGTCTTACGCAAAAGGACTCTACATCCTCTTTGCTTTTTGTAATAGCCTGTAATGAGAGACTATTTCCACAAGGTGGCAGCAAGACATTAATTCGTCTAAAAGGGGCAAAATATGTTTACCTGGATTTGAAAACTAGTGGGATCATACATTCGGGGTATAAACCCAAATCTCCTAAATGAAATAAGGTGACCTTGACCTTAACACTGCAAGTGCTGCTGCTATACCCACGTCTGCTTAACTAGCAGGACGCCCATATTTCCATCCTTCAAATGTTTTTCTAGCCACAATGGAATACTAGAATTCCATTAATTTTTTTTTTTTTTACCAGTTACTTTTCGCCTGCAGCAGAGCAGGGAGGTCATTTCAGCAATGATTTTTTTCGTTAGCTTCAGTTGAGTGGTTCTGATAATAAAAGGGAGCTGTGTACATTATAGCACATTTGAAGTATGTATAATAAATTTGTAAATTTAATTAATGGAATTGTTTTGTTTTAAAATTAATTAATTTGAATTAATATAATTAATGTAATTATTTTTTAAATTAATTTTAATGTAATGTAAAAAAGTAGTAAATTAGGGCCCTCCCTGGTGGCGCAGCGGGTTAAAGCCCTGCACTGAGAAGCTAAAGCCACTTCCGCAAGAGTTCGATCCCCGCCTGCCCCGGAGGTGACCACTTGGCGTGGCAGACCTCTCCTGACCCGCCCGCTGCTCCCCTCAGCCTCTCACTGCCCCTGAGCCTCTGGCCTATACCCCAGTTCTGTATGTACAAATAAATAAATTTTTTTAAAGTAGTAAATTAATTAACAGTAGTCAACTGATTTGTCCATAAAGTGATAAATACTTTTATAAGTTACTTTTTTCCTAGTATTTTTCAATATATATTTTTAAGATTAATTTATTCATATAGAACTGGGGTACAAGCCAGAGGTGCAGGGGCGGCAAGAGGATTAACCAGAGACAAGCGAGGAGCAGAACAGGCAGATCGATGAAGTACACAGCTGAAGGGAGCAGCAGTCAGGTCAGGAGAGGTCTGCTGTGCCATCTGGGTCATCCCCAGGGCCAGGCATGGAACTCATGAGGTGGCTGCTGCTCACTTCATAGTGCTGTGCTTTAACCCCTTGTGCCACCAGGGAGGGCCTGTATTTTCCGATATTTTTAATTGTGAAACACTACATTCATGTATAAAAGCATATAGAAACAATATAGTCTCAGAATTACAAAGTGAACCCATTAACCAAGTCAAGAAAAATAAAATCACATCATATCATAATCTTCCTTCATAATGCTTCAATATGACTTTTGTGAAAATTACTTCCCTTGTTTTCATGATAATGTACCATCTAATATGCATCACTAAATGCATCACTAAAATCAAAACATGGTTTTAATCTTGTATTTTATTTTAAAATAAATTAAATCATATAGTATTTATTTTATATCTTGACTCACTCAACAATATGTAAGCAAAATGAATCCACATTATAATGAAGCTAGAGATTTTTACTGCTGTAGAATATATTACTTTTTCCATTCTATTCTTCATACACATAAAGGTTAAAGAGAGTATATTTCATAAATATGTTCCTTCTGTTTTAAAAATACATTATCTCTAGGACTTTATATTCTGTGTCCACCATTTAACATTGTAACAAAAATATTTTCCATGTCATCAAAAACTTCATAATTATTGTATCTAATTGCTGCATCTAATTTATGGATATACTGTAATGTTCACCATTCCCTGAGGTTTTCATTTAGATTGTTACCAATGACTTGTTACTG